GGAAAAAAGTCATGTTACTGCAGGATATATTTACGTTTCCGTTTCAAACTTGGAATAAATTAAATGCTTTCCCTTCGTGTTCTTTTGTGGTGTTCTGATCAACACACGCAGCCAGAAAAAGGGAAGGTGTTGGATTCTGTTCTTGAAGAGGGAGTGACTGATGTTCTAAGGCTCATGGCCAGCAGAGAACATGAATAGGCATACAGGAAACCAGGACTTTACCATATGGCGATCAGGCACTGTCCCGTAATGTTACTGATCCAGTGGAGCATCTTACAGAGGCTCCGTAATATCTTTCCAAAACATTTTCATGCAGTTTATCATTTATAAGTGTGTATACACTAAAATAAAAACTGTTTCATAACAATTATTGATCATGAATATCTTGGCCTAGTTCGAAGGATATTTGACAATATTTTTGACTTTGTGATAGAATTTCTAATTGTTTATAATATATCTTTCAAACTCGAGTTCATATGTAGTTATCGTCTAACAATATAATGTATTGTAATCTTTTGCAAGTGATTTGAACAGGATAACTAGGATGCAAGCGAGAGTATATCAATAAATCAGTTCCTAAAATGTGTCCCAATCGAAAGACAACTTGAGAATAGCTTATGAGTAAAATGTAAAAATGGAGAATTTTCTTAACCAGTATTGAACTTTCAAGTACTACTGACTTAATTTTCCAAGTTAGTTTTCTGGCATTGTCCTACTGTAGTATGAAACCAGATCAGTTTAACTCTTAGAAGACAGAGCTGTCACTGCTGTGCATCTCGTCCAACTCTTCTGATATTGTTTAAGAAATTATTGATGCGATTGAATGATTTTGTAGTAGCAAAGTGTCCTACTGTAGTATGAAACCAGATCAGTTTAACTCTTAGAAGACAGAGCTGTCACTGCTGTGCATCTCGTCCAACTCTTCTGATATTGTTTAAGAAATTATTGATGCGATTGAATGATTTTGTAGTAGCAAAGTGAGGGTAAACCTCAGGCACGAATCCCCCACCCCGTTTTAGGAGGGGTTAGTAGCTTACAAAGAAGCTTACTTATTTTCTTCGGTAAAAAATTTGTTTTTAAGACCCCTGCATTCCCGAAAGCTGACAGAGAATCGTTTTTATATCATTACTCTGTTGAATACTTGAACTATCAGTATGTTAAAACAGTGGATGTCAGGTAAGATAAAACTAATTATGTATTCAAATAAATTTTGCTTCTAAAGAAAAGTAACCTATGTCTGACTGCCCTCGAAGTCGATGCCAACCTAAGGTAGCTTTCTTGCCTAATTTTTAGTATGCGTCCACTGCTGGTACTTAATGTTAAACTTTTGCTTAAAATCAAAGCTTTTATCTTTCCTTATTAATAGTTATTACATAGTGAATTTGGATCGATCAATGATTAAATTCTCCACAACTGAAATTTTCACTAGTACCGATTTCATCACCAATAAATTTCAAGACATATATATAAAAAGTGAAAGATCTGGATACTTAAGAGTAAATTTATCAAGCTTTTATGGAAATTATGGAAATTAATGTTTAAATTATGGAAAATTTTCCATAATTTAAGCAAGCAAATTAGGATAACTTCTTATGGGGTTGCTTGACTAAAACGGTATCAGCAGTAAATGCTGTTTAGTTGCTGCATGGGGTAACAAACAGTAGTTAGGTTCATTTAAATAAGCTTTCAAAGATTATTATATTTTTTTCGCAATATATATGTGAAAACTTCCCGTTATGTATTTTTCACTATTTTTTTAATAAGGAAACTTTGCTCTAAATTTAGGCCGAAAAGGTTTCGCTTTTACACGTCAAAAAGTAAATTAAAAACATTCTTAACTTTCAGGAATTTTACCTGTGAAATTTCCTAAGGGAAAATTTCATGTAGTTCTTAGCAATATCGTCTAAACCAAGATGCATACGTGAAATTAATGTCTTATAGCAGGTTGGATTTCGTAAGCGAGATTATTTATTCTTATGTTTAACTCTAAAAAATTCTGAGTTTGCAGGTTACAGTAATAGGTTTGTAATCAAATGAACAGATGGCCTTTAAAACAAATTTATATTAATAGCAATGAAAGGCGTAAAACGATCTCTCAAAATTAGGATATGAACTAGGGAAAGTTTACACCTTTCACATATATATTTTTGCAGAGTAAGGTTTAAATATGCAATGAAGCATGGATCTATGCTACATGCAAATAACATCCTCGAATAACATTTGCTGACTTCATTAAATGCTTTCATATGAGCCGTTGTTGAATTGTGTGACATGCAGCTTTTCAAAGAAGTTATAAATGCGGAGCGTAACAGTATAAAAAATGATTTCGCAAGGTAGATGTTCAAATAATTTGCAACACGAATTCTTAGATTTTCTTACGCAATTATCCTAGTATTTTTTTCAACTTAATGATAATTATTTTGAGTAAAACGAGTTTTTAGGTAATTTGTTTATGCATTTAATGTACATGTTTGAATTAAAGCGTAGCTGTTAAAGGAAATTTGCTTTTCGTATTTTCCTTCTGTAGATTTTATGGCAAAATAACATCTTTGTTTTACTTATGAGAGAAGCTTTATAAGGGAAATGTTGGTTGGGGGGAAATATTATTGGTTAGGAGGAAATATTGGTTAATTAGAGAAATATTGGTTGGGGGCAAATATTGGTTGGAGTCATTAGGGAAATATTTATTAGGGAATATTTGGGTTAAGTAATTGAACATAAAATTATTTCATGCAGAAGTGCAGCTAAAAAAGTAGGCTTTTCTTGATATGCCCAATGGTTTGCATTTTGTTTGACCCAATATTAGATACTTGATTTTATTTACTTCTTAAAACTAAACCCAGATGAAAACAGCTAACGCTAAGTAGGCTTTCAGCCGGATGATAGCTTTTATATGATTAAAATACATTAATTTCAAAAATAAAGGGAATATATATTTTAAAATTGATAAACTAAGCTTCTTAAAAATCTTCAGTTTTTTTCTGGATCCAAGTGGCAATTTAGCTTCACATACATATTTCAGCTTCATTTTGAAGTCATTTTCTAAAATGAGCTTTCTGTTAGAAAACCTCAGTATACTTTGCAGACATTTCTTTTAAATTTTATACCTTCCTAAGTGTTTCGAATCATTTTATATTGAAATTCCTGCTAATGTACATTCATTTCGGCTTAGGTAAACAGGGAAAAGTGCATGAGGCACCAGAGACTTAACTACAGAATCGAACAGGTATTGCCCCAATACACTGAGCTAGAGTTTGCAAAATTGGAATAGACTGTATGCTTTTTCTCTTAAGGAACCCTGAAGTTATGCCCTGTAGTTGTTATATTTAACATAAGAATATAATAAAACAAATTTAGGCAAAGTTACATAACACAAACTGTTGAATTTACTCATTACATTTACTGTATTACGTAAACATAATAGATTTGATACTTTGGAGAATGTTTCACGGAATTTTTACATTTTTATGTAAGTAAATAAACACATGAGATTTGATTTTGCCAATATATATTGGGAATGTCTGCTACTTGTTATCTTGTTATGCGAGGATTATAGTAGTAGTTAGATTTATGAGCTTTGTTAATTTATGTTTAAGAGAATGTAATAAACTGCAGCTCCCCAATGCAAATAATTTTTGCAGTTATTACTTCAAATTGTAGACTGTGTTTTAAAATTAGATGCAGAACAAAAGGGGGGAATCAGATCAATATTACTATGTCATCCTCCAAGAAAACTTCTGAAAATAATTTTTTTAAGAAAACTCTGAAAAAATGCCTTTATTGAAATACAAGGTTCTTCAAAATGATTGACTCTTTTTCTCATAGCTTTATTTTTTAAATTTACGAATCTTCTGACAAGTAGCACATCAAATAATGTGACAGCCATTATTATTACATGTGTAATTTTATTCACCTACGTAAAAATCAGTATGATGATCAATTCATATCATACTTGCTATAGCCAAAATGTACATAACTATTTTTGTCGCTGTCTCTACGTGTGTAATAATATGATTTAGGAGACCGCAAAAGTTTTTGAGCAGAGATGATACGTACTTATCTTCCCAAATAAAAGGACTGCAAATTTTAAAATCTGATGGTCTAGGAAGCCAGTTGTGAAACTACAAATCATCCGATCCACTGCGGCTGATCCATTGCCACCATCGAAGGCCAAAATAAGAACTTTAGAGATACATGCCAATTCAAAAGATTTTAACGCATCTGTATAATTATAATTCAGAACATAAATGATGATAAACCATAAAATAAAAATCCTTATTTTTGAAATAATATTTAAAGAAAAATTTTTATTGCAGATTGTAATTTCACTGGAACTCAGTCCAACTTTTCAAAGCGTTATTATTGCTGCTAGTATTTGTAGAAGTTATAATAGCGTCTACATACAGAAAAGGTTGTTTTTAGTCAAAAGAAAGAGAAGGGGTTCTAAATAACAAGCTTTGATGAAGTTGGACTGAATTTTAACGAAATTAAAATCAGCAATAAATTGTATGCTTATTTATGCTAATCTTTTAAGTTGAATTTTTTATTTAATGTTCTATTCACATCGCTCAAAATTTATTTTTCTCTTGATTATCGTAATCTTACATAATCTACCATTTTCTATGCTTAATGGAGGTAAGGAAGGCAACAAGCTTTACTGATGATGTTCTACCTGTTTTTCTGAGATTTTCAAGATACTTCCGCTGAGAAATTTGTGATCATTAATGTTAAAAATGAGTGAAAATAAATATCTATAGCATTCCACGAATTAAAATCAATCCGATAATTATTGAGAAAAATATACACAACAGCACGTTTGGCAGGGCAGCAGTCACAGCAAAGATAAAAATAATGAACATGCTTTATGAACATGCAGGCGTTTTATTTTATCTATCGTTCTGCTTTATTTTTCACTTTATCGAAAAACAAAAGATTGAGTAGATTGGGTAATCAAGAATAAAAGGATTGAGAAATGGCTAAAAATTTATAATATTACTCACTCTTGTATGCTGGAACTGAAAAATGGACTCGTCAGAAGAGGAATAGCGAGCTGCAATGCGGTTTTCTACGGCGAAAAGATGGGAAGTATTGAAATCCATACAGTGTTTCCTTGCTGTAAAAAGGAAATAACACTGCAGCTCTCCGTTTCCCTTTTCATGAATACATTTCCCAATTCTCGTATGTGGCGGTTTTTTGAACAACACAAGCGCCTTTCGATTATGTAAGGCTACGATTGCTTTCTCTAGCAACATATGCACATGCTTATCACTTTCCTTACAGATAAGGCTACGTTTCTACTAACTGGCATCATTAGCAATTCCACGGGTTTTTCACAACTTTCGACTCACCTTTTTTTGTTTACCGATCCTTATGAATTTGGAAAGGCATGTGTTTCTACAGTAAAGTTACAAAGCTCAACATGACTGAATCTTAATTTTACCTTTTTGTTGTAATAAAATTATGCCGAATAATCGAGTGAAACTGTTGAAGCTCATCTGAGAAGTTAGTGTTCAGTTCCTTTGGACAGGCATCAATCAAGTTATGATAACACTTAAAATACCTCTGTGTTTTCATAACTTGATTAAATTCCCTGTACTGTTTTAGTAGGTATTGATATGACGTTATGTGTGACTTCATTTAAAAAAGAAATATTCTTTTATATCTCTATTTTAAGTTGGTCAATAACTACACAATAGATAGCGAAACGAATTTTTCTATGGCATTCTGTTCCCTAAGCATGAGCTAATTTTTTTCCATGGTTAATCCAGCCTTATCGTTATAGTGTATTGAATTGAGAAAACATAACACTTTACAATAGCATTTGAAACACGAAAATTACTTTTTTTATTTGATGTAACAGAGTTAGTTAACACATGGTTACAAAGTATGGTATGATGATTATTGGAAATCTTGTCAATCGTTTTCAATAAACCTGTACTAAGGGTTTTTTTTTTCCAGAAAATAGTATGGAAAACATTGTATTTTCCGATAATTTCGATTCTGCATCCGATAATTCTTCCAGCCTTTTAAAACTGCTGTCAAGAGCGCAAGGTCTGAAAATGCCTCCAGTCAAATCTTTCCAATCGCCTTTTAATGGAAGCCAGCGGAGATATCGTAAAGTTCAGCGCACATTTCCTTTGTTTTCTCTCGAACAATTCCCTGTGTTTCTAAACGTTCACAAACATTTGGTTCCACTAAGGTAAGTGATTCTTAAATTTGAATCTTCTAGTGAGGATAAGCGTTGAAAAAGGAAATTAATAAATTTAGTTAGACGGATTAGCGCCGCTTGGAAATAATCTAGGGCTTCTTTTTAAGAATCTGAGACCTACAACTCAAGGATTTCTTATTGCATTCGAAAATCAATATACCCTCTTTCACGCCAATTCGCCTGCTTGCATTGCATTCCTTTGCCGTTTTCTTTTCGGCGCGATGTTTAATTACCTGCATTAGAAAGGGAAAGTAGCTTTTCGCGAACGTATAATGTGGGCGTAAACAATGCCCAAAAAATGTGCTTCGAAATTCCGCTAGTTCTTGTGAACTTATGAATGATGCAAACGGGGGGACAAAAAAAGTCTATGTCGTCATAAAGTAGCTCGCAAGGCGCGACATGTGATTGGCATTCGTAATTCGAGTTCTCGGCGCATAAAGCGAGCCTCCCCGCTCTAATTAAATGCTTTGCAAGAGAATTGATAGAAGAAAAAGGAACCGAGTAAAAAGATGTAAAATGAGTTTTGCTTAATAAGCTCTGTTTCTCCTCATCTGGAATTAGTTTTTGCAGAGGTTCTTGAGGCGAGACCTGTGATTAGTTTCGTTTGATAGAAAAATAATTGATCGCGTCGGTGGTAGAGGATTAGAAGATCTCGTAGTAGCTAGCTTAAACAAACAAACCAGGAACAAGAACACAATGTAAATATTTCGTGATTAAATCAGTTCAACGATGTGAGCGTTTTTTTCGCCTCGTTCTCTTTACATTTTATTACGGACTTTCTTTTATTCGATGCCATTCGAAAATCGCTTTTGATCACACGCTCTTATTTCGCGACACATTTGTTTGTTTTCTGGTTATTTTAGCCGCTAACATTTCTTTTGCGTGTGTTGTATGGGTCGCTATTTTTCTGAACCTTCGCTGACGATAAAAAAAATAATCATTAGGTTTCTTGGCGGTACAAAAGGGTGACATTATCTGTCTTCCTTTATATATCCCTCCAGTGATATTGTCTCAGTGTAAACTTCTTTCTTATTTAAAAAGACCGCGCCAGCTAACGGCTAAATATTGAATTTGCATCGGCTTCACTTACAAATATACGGCGAGCGAATTGATAAAAAATGCCCAAAAAAGAAATTTTCTCTTCATTCATAGTTCAGCGGTTATGCCGGTCGCTTTATCTACACATTGCGAGCTGACAATGCCCAGTTTAATGAATATTTTAAATATGCAATTATGCTGGCATTTTTTACTCCGATTTCTAGCTAAGAATAAACCCTGAGGAATCCAGAAGTGCTAATTAGGGAGACGAATGAAAGATTCCCAGCATTTCGATGGCGGAATGAATTGAGAAATATAAATTGCATTTCTGGTTTCTTTTTGATGCCGATTCCGAAGCAAAAAGGGATTTCTTATATCTAGAAAAATTCTTTCATTCAATTTCAAATAACTCGCATTAAGTTGGAATCTTCTTTTCATGCATTTTTCTTCATCGTTTACACATTGCTTAACCATCTTTGTTCTGCGACCGCTTTTAGTGCCTCATGCCTAATAAGATTGCGTTAACTGAGTATTTTAAGGGGGAAAAAATTCAATTCATTTGTGACTCCTTTCATTTGAATCGATTATTACTCAGCGCAGGTTCGAGGTCTTTGAGATGAATTCTTTCATTTCTTTCAGTTAAAAAAAGTAAGGAAATACATAAAAGTACTGGGATATTTCATTGGTTTTCAAAGCTTTAAAAATCTTAATTACAGCATAATTATTTATTAATATCGTCTTTAATTAATACGCATCTGTTTAAATTATAAATTCCATTCCATTATTGCAAGCTTTTAAAAATAGCTTAAAGATGCAAATAGTTTCTATTTGTTTTCTCTAACGTTCTGCTTGATACAGAATCATTTATTTTCAACGCTGTACTTGGATGCCTTAAGTGATGCAAAAGACTTATTATAATTTTTTAGTTTATGAATGTCCACCTCTCAAAATTATTTTTTCCCTTTTGTTAAGTTAATTTTGGTGGAATGTTGTTAAAACTACTGATTGTTTTAATTATAATAGCTTAATTTTAGAATAAAACTGCAAAAATGTATTAGATTATTTAACGTAATTCTATTTGTACCGCAAAATGTTGAGAAAAGTAAGATATATATATTTTTATTAATGTGTTGGAAATTTTTGTTTTAAATAAACAATTTAATGCACCTTCAAGAATCATGTCATGTTATCATATAAAAGCACGTAAGGTTATATAACTATGAGTACAGTATAATGGAAAAATAAGCATTCAGCATTGATATATTGATAAATTATAATAAACTCTTCTTCTTTAAAGAAAATTGAAAAGAATACAGATAATTTTATCAAGATGATAAGCATTTAAGATTAAGAAATGCAAATGTGAAACAATTCAAAGCTATAATCGGAAAATTTAAATATATTTATTGATTTAGACTCTTAATTAAATCCTTACCGTCATTCAAAAATAGGAAATGATTCAAATATAGAAGGTGGGTGTTGCTCTTGCTTAAGGAAATTATTACTGGAAACATATAGTTGACCCTCCTTGAAACGACCCCTTGTCTTAAAGAAAAGAGGACATTATTAACAAGTAGTCGCTGTAAAGAAAATGAATTTAGTATACTCCTACCAGTTAGGGACTACTTGCACCAGTTGTTGTAGTGGAATGCTTTTTATAATGAGTGGTGATTGTAGAGAGCGCTAAATGCAAAAGTATTTGGCTTTATAAATAAAATAGAAATCGGGTGTTGTTTTATGTAGCACAAAAATCCAATATGGCTACCCCCTTGATTCATAAAGCATCATAACTTATGACTAACCTCCTCAAAGGAAGAGATTATTTATTTAGAATAAGTTATTCACATCATAATTTAAAACTAATCTTCTTTTTGTGGAATTTAAGCTTTTCAACAATGAAGCCGTCCAGGAACTATTGTCATTAAGATGGAGTTCTCTGCTTTAATTTCATAAAGAATACTTTTCAAGCGCCATGGAAATATTTAGGACCACCTTTTACAAGGCGATCCTAAATATTTGTATGCTTAATCATCTGCCAAAAAAGTGTTTAATCACCTGCCAAACTGCCTGTGAAAGTGTTCCCATAAATTCTGAACGTCGTTTAACTATACGTCAAAATTCTGATTATCTGCTGATGATCATTTCGATCCCAAATTGCATGCAGTACATACATAATGACGCAAAACGTCGACTTTCAGCCTGTCTGCGGATAAGTTAGACCCAACGTCTATTAATGATAGAACTCGCTACAGACATTTGCTTTCCTGCCAGAAATTTACGCAAAACGGAAAACAAAATAACTGATCTCTTCCCCCATCTTTACTCTCTACACTTTTCGTTTGCAAAATACCAGTCTGCAGTTTTTATTGGATTTTATTGAATCTCGCTTCGCTTACTGCGGATTTTTTCATCCTTCTAAGAGGATAATGAGAGCTGGAAGATGCTGCTAATGCTTCTGGTTATCCAGTGTGAAATGACACTTCCCTTCGCTGTTATCGAATAAGTGCTCTGCTTGGTACTAAGCAGAGTGTGAGTGAAAAAAAAATCAGTTTTACACTTTCTTTTTCAACAGCGACAGGATTCATTTAGTTTTGTATTTCTTGCTCCGAAGTAATGTTTCCTCTGGAAAATTACGGTTTCGTAATCTTTTCGTGTTCACAAAACTTTCAAAACCTATTTAAACTCTCCGCTATTTATTTTTTATATGTTTTAATGCTTAAACAGTCGCAGGGGTATAAATTTCATTCGAAAACACTTATATTTTAAAACTTCTGAATATCAGAGAATGTTCGCCATTTTTGTAGAAAAGGAAAAGTCACACATGCCATAATTTCATTATATTTTGATTAATATGCGAGTTTTATTCAACAATCATTAAGTTATGTTATATATATATATAATTTAAAGCAGAAAAGTGATTGCTGTGATTTTGTTTGCCGTTAAACATTTCCACAAGTATTTCAGTTGGTGAGCCATATGAAAATTTTATTTATTTATTTATTTTTCCATTGACTATGCGACTAAATAAAATTTTACTGTTAAAGTAAAAATTAAAATACCTTTGAAAATATTCGAAGAGCTGTTAAACATAACAATAGTTCTTATCTTTGAAGATAAAATTAAAAGCTCGTAATATCTATTCCCAGTTACTGTATAATAATTGTTAAATTAGTTTTGTTATTTTTTAATGCTTCTACTAATTCATTTCAAAAGTTTGTAAACTTATACAACACTTTATTTCCTAATTTGTTTCCAATATTCTTTCAGAATTTAAATAAAAAACATAAGCTACATTTTGCTAATCATACTTTAAATTGGTATTTAGAGCGATTCTACGCTAAAAAAAAATTTCTAAATATTCTTGAACGTATATTAAACAACTGTGTAATCCAATATTTTAAAATGTTAGACTACTGCTGGCAAATCGATAGCAAGCCTTAAAAATATTATTATTGCCATTCGGCGAATTCTTTATTAGATATGTACATTAGATTATACAATTTTTTTAGATATTATACAAAATTTATTAGATTATACAATTTTAGATTAAAATATTAAGCTAAATTGTATATAACTTTTAATTCTATCTTTCTTTTTCATCTGTGATTAATGTATTGCCATTCTTTGAAATTAAAAGTACAATTAATTCATATAAAATTCTTAATCTTATCATGACATGCTTTACTTTCGTCCTCCTCCCTCCCATCAGGTGAGACGCTGTTTTCAATTTTCGGTGACACGCTCTTTTTAGTTTTTCGGTATAATGTGATTCATAATTTCTTTTAGTATTTGAATATAGGAAAAGAATGCATCGTAGTACAGAAGGAATGTTTAAGAAACAATCTAAATGTTTGGATAACTAAAGGCTTGCATCGAAACTGACAAATTATCCTTTGCTAGGCTGAGTAAAATTCTCGAGAATGCTTTACGTTGTACCAAACCTCACTAATTACAGACTTAATTAGTGAGGAAATAAAACATCAGTGTTATAACAAAATGAATTATTTCATGTTACAGTATTCTGCAGCAGTTCTATAAGTAGCCAGAGTATTTGCAAGTGATCTTTTTTAATCCAAATTTATTTCGGCGTGGAAAAAAAACAGGTTATTTTCCGATATTATTACATGTCAAATCACACGCACTACACGCACTACTCTTACAGTCAAGTTCATTCATCAACTGCTGAGGTATAGATTCTTTGGGTATACTTCACGTATTTTAAAGTGTAGTCGCTTACATGCGGCAGTCGCTAAAAGTTTACATTTTCCGCAAATGTTTGCGCTGAACATATACACGTGCTGCCATCTACTGGGAGGGAAAAAACATAGTGTTTATAAAGGTATAGCTATAAATTTAGAGCAGGTGCAAAAAAATAGCTGTTCGTTACATAGGCAAATGGCTAGTTTTTAAGCATTATTTCAAGCATAAAGTTTTTTTTAAAATAGATATCTATCAGTTTTCCTGTTTCACGGTAAATTTTTAAAAAGTATAATGCATTAAAAATATTCGCATTGAAAGATAAACTTTTGCTTTTGAAATAAATCAAGTATTAGATCAAATGAAATTAAATTATTTGGGAGTGTAATTGTTTACTATGTTCACCTTTCTTATTGTTGCCAATGTATGTATAAAAATAATACGTACATTATAGTATATATATATGAAATGTACATATATATATGTGTGTGTGTAGTAAAGTTATTAGGTAATATAAATAAATTAAACTCTCTAGTTTAATCTTAATCATAAAATTCAAGATAATTTAATGTGGCAGAGAAGAGAGCAATATGTTATATTATAAGTGATTATCGACTCTCGTCCACCAGGTGCTGAGTACCGCTGAATACTGGTAGTTCGACCAAGGGCCTGTTGTATGGGTACTGTGGTGGTTTTTCACGAGTGTAATGAGCAATTTTGCCTTACAGAGGTCCTCTCTTTAATCAGATAGTTGTTTTGTCTTTGTCATATTCAAATAGCCTAACTCGTCAACATTTCCTTTTTTTCACACTTATTTCCCTTCCGTTTTTCTTTCCGGTTAGCAACCCTTTCAGTTTAAAATTATGATTATAAATAGAACAATTAATGTTCCATAATCTACTGGTTTGTTCTTTTGGGATGCCTAAAGAATTCATATCAGTTATCATGTAAAGTGCGGCAGTAAGTTTTTGTAGATTAATATTTTTAGAAGGCTACTTGTGGCCGATTGAATATAACCAGCCGACACTGGAAGTTCGTCCTGAGCTCCATTTCCTGCCTATGAACGATCATCACTGCATGGATATTTGAGTGATTTCTTTCATGTATAACGTGTATATGAGACAATATTTCTTAGAAGGTCCTCCACGACGGCCTCCGTTCTCTCACAAATAGCCTTCAAATGATGAATATATATTCTTTCGGGCAAGAGCTATGAAAGAAATAAGTTTTAAAGCTTTCTTTTTTCTAATACTTAAATAGCAAATGTTCAGTGCTAATCAGGCTTTTACCTTTTCTGTTTTGTTACTCTTTCAGAAACTTGAAATTGAATAAAGTATAATATGTTTAAATTAACAAATATTTCCGGTTTAATATAAAAAATATATACGAAAGATTCGTTTAAAGATTTCATACTAAATTACTTTCTAAGCATCTGTTTCTTAAAAAAAAAAAAAATTCTAAAATAATTTTATAGACTCAAACAAAAATCTTGCTTATTTTATTATTATTAGCCCAAAGGCCGTTAGCCCAGAAGGGCTATTAATTTCGTTTTGCCATTCTTCGTTGGTTCACTATAAATGTCGGTTCGCTTTTCAAATTGTTGCCACCAAATATTAGAGCCCTGTATTATATTTAAAGAGATTAAATAATGAAGAAGCTGCGTAAATGTACATATGTTTCTCGTATTGTGATAAAATAGCGGTTCCTAGAGATATCAAATTTTGAATAACGTACATTTCCACCTGAATATAGGATTTGTTTTAATATCTATTCCATATTTTGTATAACTTTAACGAATTTTTTTATTTACAAACTCAACGATATCAAAGCGAGCAATGGCAACACTGTACGGGGGGGGGATTATCTCCAACGCGCGCGACACTGTGTATCGGAAATTCTAAAAATGTGCTCATTTTAAAACTATTTTGCAATATTGCTGTTGAACTGAATTTTATGGTTTAAAGGAGAAGAACATGATATTTAATAAATAAAGGCAACACACGAAACGTTTAAAAAAAACGCTCCTTTGGACGTAATGTAAAATCTTCAGATTTTTGTTTTTTATTATTTATTTTACTTCACTGCTGTTTCCGATGATGTAACACGTGCTTTTACTGGTAAAAGATGAGTGATCCTGAAGCCTTTCGAGCCACAATGGTATAAGCACCGACATTATCTCCCTTTTTTCTTTGTGTGTGTGTGCCTGTATGTCTGTGTTGTTTATTCTGTGAGAAAAAAATTACCATTAGTTACTAGATTTGTAATAGCTTTAAAAGTCATAGAAGAGAGGAAATGAAAATGATTTTAGCACCTGGGAAAGCAAGCAGGTGGGAAAAACGATTAAATAACAATATTTGATGTTGACTGCAAATCATCAATGCATATCACAAGAACCATTTCGTTTTTATCACAAGGGCCGCGATCGCAAACGGAAAGAGTAATTATTTCTTAAACATTGGCAAATGTCGGTTCCTCTGAAGGCATTCCTCTGATCGTTGTCTTTCACTACATGACGCTCTCGGATATGGTTTGCTATGCAAGTAAGTTTGCTTGAATATGTTTCGTATTTATTTATGTATTTTTGATTTATAATTTTAGGGTATTTAAATTATTAACAAATTCTTTTTGCTTGGGAAAAATGTGTATAATTTGCAGTCTTAGGATAGACTTATTAACTTGCTGGATTAATAAATAATTTTGGCTTCTCAAAATTGTAAATTATTAATTTTCGAAATTCGAAAAAGAATTATCACCAAAATCATGATTTGTATTTTTCCCCCTTTTGAATTTATTCTTGATAATATTGTTGATATTTTAAAAGTATAATTGGTATGCAAGTAACAGATCAGTAATTTATATTTATTTTTAGTTTCCTATTTCTTTTTTCCTGTTACGCAAAATACTTTACTTCACTAATGACATGCAATTGTTTAGTTTAGTCTAGAGCTATTTAGAAATAAGTTTACTGTCGAAGAAATAGTCAAATTATTTACCGTTCATTCCACTAATGTTTTACATATTTTTCTCGGTGTTATTAACTTTAAAAAAATTTAATATGTCCACAATAACATTTTTATACTACCGTCAAATTATCAGTTACCTTAAAAAATTATTTAAATTGATAATACTGAAAATGTATCATCCTTAATTGATTACCCTGAACTAATGCCAATATAGTTTTCAAATATAGCTCAAGAGGTAAACTTTTAAAAAGAAAGCTATTGTCATATTACAAGAAATCAAAGATAAGAAATTTAATTTCTCATTAGGCATTATTCTGAATAAAAACAAAATTCTTGACTTATTATTTTTAAATAAAAATACACTTTCCCCCTCCCACCAAGAAAAAAAACTAATGTTCTTCTTTTTAAAGTGGAAAACATTTATGCACTTAAATAAAAACTGAAGAAAACTCGCTGAGTCCTTTAGAAATAAATTGAGACTATACTTTTATTTAGAATTTTCGCCCAGTTGTAATTTATTTCCGCAGGGATCATTTAAAGTTTCTTTCGCATACTTCTGTATATCCTAAATTAGCATTAAAAAGCAATTACAAAAATTAGCAATTTAAATTAACTTGAAATAATTAAAAAAAAAGTTAATAATCCTGCAACAGTGAGCCAGATTCATCCGTATTCATTTTCTGGCAAATAGTGTCAATTGTTCTCGCTACAATTTCTTTGCATCAGCATGCAATTATTACATAAGCTGTCAAATATTTTAAGTGATTCTTTTCCGAATTAAGGATGCATGTTAGGAATACAAAATTATTGTTTTCGAGATCTGTTTATTAATAAAAATTGCAATACCTTTTAGTACTGTGTTTAAAATATTTAGATTTTAGCTCGGATTTATTTTTGAATATTTTTGTTCCTGAATTATATGCTAATAAAATGGCTTTCACATTTGGGATTTGTTTCTTTAGTATGTTTCCGTTTCATCTTATTCCAGTTTGTAACTTGTAATGATTATTAATTGATGAAGGTTTTCTACAGTTCTGAATGTATACGATGATGCCATTTTAAGGAAATTTTAAATTATTTATTAATCTTTTTAACTAAGCTGAAGCTATAATTTTTCTTTGTCTTCATCCTGTGTACAAAAATAAACAACCTAGATGCATTTCGCCAGTTCTTCTCTAAATATTTCACTTAATTCCATATCGCGATTAATAGTTTTCAGTCCTGCTTTCATTAAAAAATCTCTAGCTACATATTTAGAGAGCGTAACACCGAAAAATAAAAAACAGAATTCTAAAACAAGTAGAACTCTAGCTATCCGAATTAACTGGGACCGGTCCCTATTTGGATAATTGGATTTTTTCCGAAGAAAGGGTCTACGAACATTTTAATTAATTACTGTATGTACTGCATATTGAAATGGATAGAAAAAACTACTTTTAAAGCAAAAGAGGTTTTAATTAATATGGATGGAAAGGCAAAACTTTTACGTACATGTTATACAACGTACTATACAATACATACAAGTGCTGAAAGTCATTACTTACTGGACATCGAGGTCAAAATAAGCTGTTTGACAGTCTTATTCATTTTCGGGCAGCCAAGTCGCGCGTCCGCTTGATAATGAGAAATTGCATGTGGTCACCTCGGATTGACGCTCCATCCACTTAAATGCAGTTTCAAGGCAGGCAAACGCTTCACTAGCTGATGGTCCCGTGTCTGCTTCAACTTCGATATTAACGTCATCTTCTCCTTCGACACTTTGATATTAACGTCATCTTCTCCTTCGACACTTTCTTCTCTCACATACTTTCAATAAGTTCATCAGCATTTAGAATTGGAAACTCAGGGAAAAGCTAGGGATCCATTCTGGTGTATCCTCAGCACTAACATCTGAATAACCAGGAATTTCAAAAGAATGTTTCTTAATTCCTCAAGTGAGACGTCATCCTCATCTTCTCCTGTCTCTTCCCTTTCCTTTTCCTCCTTTTCTTCAATTGATTCTGTAAAGTTCTGAAATTCTGAAAGCGATTCGGATAGTCGGAGTTAGGATAATTGGAGTTGTACTGTACTCTTCTCTACTAAAAAGAATGAAATTAAAGCAGACAAATAAAACAGTCTTAACTCAAATTTATCATCAAATCGAGCAAAGAAAAATGAGATCTATCATCCAAATACTGTATGCTTTTGTATGTAATAAATAAAGAAACAAATCAACAAAAAACATCGGCAGCAAATTTAGGGACAAATAATTATAAATAGATAAATAAAGGAACTAGCATACTTTATTCTTACACTCAAGAAAGATTATTTAAATTAGTGATTTGAGCTTTTTCAATGATTTGAACAATCAGTTTTGAAAATTCAGGAAGCACCTGTAAAATATATGTTGTACCCTTTGGCAATTTATGATTTTGTATCAGATAAACAGCACTTGTTATTAACTTTACAGCTGGTTCCAATAAAACAACTGCTAAGAAAATACAAACAAAATAAAAGCAAAAAATATAATTTTCTTAGGGGAGTACTTAGTATATAAGGAATTCTCTCTGAAAATCGCTTCAACTTCTCCAAACATTTCTCGGTATTTCTCGCTATAAAAGTTCATATGAATAATATCAGGAAATATCAAATTAAAGTGTTGAAGTGACAATTACAGCTGCGTAATAAATACAGTAACAGAAATGTATTGTGTATCTGTTTAGAGATGGAAATTGCATATTTGTATTTAATAAAGGAATTAAACGTATGCATACCAGTAATAATGAAAGATTAAATGAATGCTAGTTAGCAGAATCTACAGCTATTCAAAATGCATAATGAGCTGAGATTTTGTGGCGTATGAGAAAAAACAGATAAAGTTAAAAGAAAGGGATGGCGATAAATCATCTCATTGTAAACTGCTTTGTTGAAGCTAGTTGTAACGTCAATAACAAGTGTTGATATATCCGATACGAAATCATTAATCACCAAAACACGCAACTTGTGTTTTATAGGCTGTTTTTGAATTTTATCAAAATCGTTTCATGATGAACATGAAAAAATTAGTGAACAAATTCCTTCTTGAGTAGCTTCTTCAATGTTGCATGTAAAAAATTATGAAATATTTTTCATTTTATTCATTAAATAATATTGAACATTTTACTAAGTGAAATTTTAATTTACAGGGACCATATAAAAAGTTAAGTTTAACATTTCAGAACCCTTTTATCTCAGTGATATTTTCATAAATTTCTTTATTTTGTTTTGAAATGCTTTAAAGTTAAAATGTGTAGATAGAAACAATATTTGAAAAATTCAAAGCATGTATATATCCATTTCATATTTTTCTGTTTTTAATTATTTTGATACGTGTTTTGCTAATTTGATAAATGCAATTCTAATTAGTCTAACTTATATATGTATGATATTTATATAAAGATCCGATTTTATTTAATACATGTAATTTTATTTATAAAACGCATTCGATTCTGAGGATTAGAGTTTCGTAACTCAACTCTAATATTATTTTCAATGCACTGGAACGAGCTTTAAAATGCAATATAAGGATACAAGATTTGTCCAGGATTGCCAAGTAATTCAGCTGAAGTTGTTGGTTCAAACCAAGCAGTTTGGTTCACTAACAGTCCGAAATCATGGTTTTACTTTGTTTGACGAAGAAATGGTGATTAACGCTTACTACACAAGCAAGAGCACCTTTTGAAAATTGAGAGTGGCTTTAGGAAGCGCTCTTCCTTTTAAATACACAGCAAAAGTGAGACGACTGTCGTACCAAACCTACTTTTTATCGCTGGTGAGAATTCGAGAATGAAAAATCCCTAACCTGTTGTTTTTCCGCAGAAGGGAGAAAGGAGTCCGACTTGGCCTGTTCGTGACAATGAGATAGCGAGGCACCCATGTGTGTGTCCAGCGTTTGCACCTTGCTTACTGGAGCCAGACGCAGCACAGTGAAATGGTAAAGATTACATTTCTCAGCTATCGTATGGGCACTTTGTGGCATCAGCTTCTACAGTCTAACTTAGAAAAGTGTGGTTTGGGACCCCAAGATGCATCTTCCATCAACTTATTTCTTGAACAGAACTTCGCAAACCAGCAACGAATAGAGCATTCACTAACCTGTACATGATCAAAATGCTGAATGAGAATACAGAACTACAGTTACGCTCTAGAACATGTTGAGTGACTCTATTTCATATT